GGCGGCAGCGCCGGGGCGGGCGGCGGCGGCTCCCGCGGCACGGCCATGCTGCGGGCGGCACGGCCGGCGCCCCGCGATGGCGTCAGGCGCCATCCATCCGGCGGGGCCCGGCCGCGGGCAGTGACGAACTTCCGAGGGCCGCCCCGCCTCGTCCCGCAATCCCCGTGTGCCTGCTCGGATGTCCCGTTTCGTGCCTCAGCGGGATGTGCCTCCGTGTCGGCGTCATCTGTTTTCTCTTTTCAACGGGTTTTTGCATCCGTTTGCCCCGTGAACCGAAATCAAACATTTGGTAGTTTGGACAGGAGGTGTGTTACGATGTCATCGCATATTTAAATTGAACATCTGGTGATTTAGACGAAAGACGCACTGACAAATTACCTTAAGTGGCGTTCTTTTTACATGGCAATTTTAAGAATACAGAATTTGTTTCCTGTTGCTAGAGCTCGAGTCTAATTTCTGCATATAATGAGAAATTTACTTGTAAAAATTTAGAAATCTTCTCATCACTTCAAGTGATACAAGAGTCTTTGAAACTAAATACTGCATCACCAGGAGGTTTCTTTGATTGAGCATACTGTGAAGACAGGACGTGGATAGTTTTCACAAGTAGAATAAATAATGATCTTTGATTAACCACAGACTAGAAGACAGAAGGAGAAAAAAGATAAAACTTACAAAAATTAGAAAAGGGGTTGCCAGTGCACTCACTGATTACTGCAATGACCTACAAAGTAAGCTGCAGTACTACAAATAAAAACCTTGTCCTGTTGTAGCTGATGGAATTTGTTGTTGGTTAGTGAAGACTTCGTCCAGAAAAGTCAAACTTTACATGCACTCAAAGGCGCACAGTATCGCCTTAAGAATTTACTTTAAACTGATTTAACTGAGCTGGTGCAAAAAACTTGAAAAGGTTTTAAATCTCATTGATTTAAATCCTAATTTATATCAACCTAATTTGTTTCAGGAATGTACACTTTCACACTGATTGAATCCACATGAGGATTCAACTGATATATCAGTTTCATTTTCTTAATGCTGTGGAAGCCTCAGAAACAGTTTTCTGTGAAAACAAGTTTTAATCAGATACCAGAAATCCTTGACCTCCCTATAAAACATTAAGCGATGCAAAAACTTTTGAAACTACTGAAATACTACATTACCAGAAGGTTTTCTTTGACTGAATGTACTGTGAAGACAGGACATGGTTAGTTTTCACAAGTAAAATAAATGGTATAATTTGCAGTACTTTACTGCAAGTAAAGTTGGATTAGTGTGAAAGAACTGACATAAAAATGGCTTTCAGATGTCATATCAAACTTGCAAAATTGAAAGAGAAAATGTCTTGAACTACTGTAATCTGTATTCCTTTGTGGCTTTAGTTCTCCAAGGTATTTAATGTCTGTTGAAATTAATTGTATGTTATACATTTAGCTTTCTGGAAGAAATATCTGTATTTTTTATTTCATCTATTCGGATCATATTTAAACCTTGCAATGTGCTTTCAATAACTGCATGCACTTCTATTCCTAAAAGAAATATATGTTTCATAACTCTTATTTATGAGTGGATTTAGTTTGCAGTGAGAACATATAATAAACTAAGGGCTCTACTCAACGTTATCCAGGATAATAAAACCTTACATCTGCTCTTAAAATAAAAACTGAGAATAAGATGGAAAGGCAACATGAACAAAAATGTGGACTTTTGTCTTTCATCTTGTAGTCAGGTTGGACAAGATGATGTTGGAAAGGCTCTCTCTCTCTCTCTGAGCCTGCAACAGTCCGAGGTGATCTCCTTGGACTGTACTTTCTTATTGAATCTCCATTTATCCCTGCTACTATGCTTGGTCTTCATTGCACAGCGCTGTTGGGACCTCCACATTTGCTGTCAGGCTAAGGTAATCTGGAGAAGGAGCTTTAAATCCTAATGCTCCTTAAGTCTATGTGGTAGGCTAGAGCTAATTCAAAATAGCCTTCTTGAAATTCTTTTACTGTAGATAGATGATCACAGCACAAGCTGTTTTTCTCTGTGAGTCCATACCTGTCAGGTCACTCTGCTTGCTGATGCAAGATAGCCTAACTGTACCAAAAGCAGTGTTGTCTTGCAGTCTTCTAGAGACTTCAGACCCATAGTATGACTTGGGCTTTCATTACCTGATTGTAAAAGATGTTCTGATGAAAAAGAGACATCTCAATCCAGCTGCCACCTGCCCCAGCCACAGATCAGTTCTTGAAACTCTCTGGACCATAACACTTAAATCCTGTTCATTCCCTATGTTCATTTCTTGTCTTCTTTTTCTTCCCTAATTGTGTATCTTTTCACTTCTTGATGTTAGCTTTCAGCTTAGAAAGTCTGTCTTGGATGACCTTTCAGCAGCACTGCCGTGAGCCTGTGTCTAAAAAGGCAGCTAAAATCAGTGTCTAAAACAGCACAGCCATTGGTATGTTTGCCAAGTCTCACGATGGCTGATAAGACTGTGCTGAGCCTGTTTATCTTCAGTAGTCAGGTTGCCAGTAACAATAGGGACCAAACCCAAAAGCTGCATTTGCAATCACTGCTGTTCTTTTCCTTTCTGTTTTGTCTGTGCTTGTCTTGTTTTCTTTGTGAAAGGAAGGCCAGGCTCCAATAAGAAGACTCATTAACAACCACAAATTCAGCACCTCTCAGCTTGTCTTTTCTTTCCGTACAGTGATTGCCATCTTCTATCCAGGTTTCTGGATTGGCATTGTATGTTGAGTAGAAAGCTCACCCAATTGCCCATTGATGATCTGTTGTAGCAGCTGCAACTCATTCATTCAGGGGGCTGCCTGCATCCAGTATTAAGAGCCTGGTAGTCTTAGCTGCGGCAGAATATACTGCATCTCATGCAGAGTGGAAGAGTGCCTATGGTGGTGTGTGCTGGAGTGGGAGACACACTCCCTCACAGGACTGTGTGCTCAAAGGACTCAGTGCATTTTGAAATTGAATCCATCCCAGGTTCCTTATTGCATAACTTGTGCTCTGTAAAAAAGAGAAATGAAGAAATGCCTCAGTTGCATAGAAGGGTTGGATACAGTACAAAACTTGTGCTCTGAATTTTTTTTCAAATATTTTAGCTGACTTCTCATTTTTCATTTTTTAACCCTACAGTATTTTTAATGACAGTTGTTGCTATCATACTTAGAATGAGGAATCAGTAATCAAACTCAGTTTTGTTTGAAGTTGTATGGTGACAGATTTGCTTCAGTATCTTTGACCCTCATCTCAAATAGAGACTAATCCTAGCATGTTTGGTCATCGAGAATTAAGCATCTAAATGTCATTGAGGGTCTCAGCTCATGGTCCTAAAGATGGAATTCTGTTGGGCTAGTTTTGTGTAAGTTATTTTTGAGAGGGTCACCATTCAGTTATGTAAAAAATTAATCAGTGTAAAGGGTTAGCTAAAGTTAACAATAGTTACGGTAGTAAACGCTCATATGACTGGAAATGGGAGAGGAATTAAGTTATCACTGTCAGGCAAACATCTAATTTGAGCAAATACAGGTTGTTAGAATGAATCCTGTCATTGGCCAAAAAAGGTAGATACTCCTGTCAGTATATCAGGAATCTCTCTGTCTCAGGGTTTGTACTTCAGCAAAGTGTACCAAATGCTGAAAATCCACCAGATGGCAGACTAAAGCCTTGATACTGAAAAGTGCTGTCATCCAAAAAAAATTATGGTAACTGCATGACTGGCTGAAAATTTAATCTGTTACACCTTGCAGACTCTGCTTTGTTTTGTCAGCAATTAGTAGGTCAGTCTTTAATAGCTAGGAAATTACTTAGAAAAACATTAAGGGGAAAGAAATGGGATAAGGCATCAATTATGTTAATTTGTTTCAGCTAATAATTTGTCTTGATTTGTAGTGACATTCATGATTCGAAGACCTGTTAGAAGGAGTCTGGAGGAGGGCCGCAAAGATGATTAGAGGGCTGGAGGTCTTCTCCTATGAAGGCAGACTGAGAGAGTTGGGGTTGTTCAGGCTGGAGAAGGCTCCTGGAAGACATTATAGCACCTTCCAGTATGTAAAGGGGGCCTACAAGAGAGTTGGAGAGGGGCTTTTTGCACAAACATGGAGTGATAGGTCAAGGGGGAATGGCTTCAAACTGAAAGGGGGTAGGTTTAGATTAGATATGAGGAAGAAATTCTTCCAAGTTAGGGTGGTGAGGTGGTGGAATAGGTTGCCCAGATAAGTTCTGAATGTCCCTTCCCTGGAAGTGTTCAAGGCTAGGCTGGATGGGACTTTGAGCCATTGGAAGGTGTCCCTGCCCAAGGCAGGAGGGTTGGAACTAGATGATCTTTAAGGTCCCTTCTACCCAAACCATTCTGTGATTCTGTGTCTGGGATAGACATCTCCTAACTGTTGGGGACTGCCTGGATTTGCCTTTGGCCCTTGATTCTCTAAGTAGGTTATTGCCTGCTGGGAAATGGCTGATATGGCTGGCTATCACTCTTGTGGAGATAAAATATCTTGTCTATAAATATATTACTGAAAGAACTGTATTCAATTAGCTCCTTGGCCTTACATCTGTAGAAAAGAAGGAACCTGGTGTAGAATGGCTGGTGCTGGCTGTGGTG